CATAGAAGCCTAGCTTCAATGGACTTCTGCTCAGTGCTTATCTTGGACTCTCCAAGAGATAAAGATAAATTCCCTAAAAGTATCATCCTTATCCATGCTGAAGTCATTCCTCATTCTAGGACTCTTGTGCCTTATCCGCTTATCTCGAATTCCGATATCTTCGGAGATAACCTCAGCCTTGCCGAGATAACCTCGGCATCATGACCAGGGCACATGGCACCTCGGCTGACACGTCGGCGTCACCTTTGCCACGTGTTGGTACTCAGAAAATATATCCCCACAGTGTGGATTTGTACGAAATACAAAAAATAAAGAATTAGACTTCACTCCGGTCCTTAATCGGACTAGAAATGTGTTGTTAGGGTTATTAGGCCTATTTTAATAATTCGAACCATTCATATTTTAAGATTCATCGAGTATATCATCCTTATAAAAAAATCAAGTCAATTAGATAACGGCAACCATGTGTATCAGTTGTATGAAAAAAATAAACAATTTATACAAAACTGATCTGAACACGTATTTTCCGTTAATATTTTTATTTTATTTTATATTTTATCTAAAATTTTAGATTTTATAGATGCACTGAGGCTTGTTTTGATAATAGGTTTAAATAGCTAAAAAAATTAAAAAGTCACTACAATAAAGTAATTTTTTTTCTTCAAATTTTCGGCACGTTCTTTTGTAAAAAGTAAAAAAAAAAAACAAATTAAAATAATCAATTCTCAAAACAACTCTTAATCTAAAGATTTGTTTGGGAATTTATTATTTTAACTTTTTAATTTTTTACGAAAACACATGCATAAAAAAAAAACAAAACAAAAAAAGAATTGACTTTTTTTGTAGTAATTTTTAAAAATTTTAACTATTTTCTCACTTCCCAAACAATTCCTTAAATATAGCTAAAGATTAAATATCTGGGAATTTTAAAAAAATGGAGCTTTATTCATAAATTCCATTTCTAAGACTTTTATACCATAAAACCCAAATCATTTTTGATTATTCCATTAGGTCCCATTCGGTGTAGTAAGACCAAAATATCCTCATTCCATTTCTCCCGCGCATACTCCATTCTGAAAACTCAACCGTTCTTATTCCATCTCTTCACTCCACAACACATTCATTTCCTAAAAAAAACTCATCGTTGGCAACAAAAAATTCCCAAACCGTAATCCTAGATTTCACATCGCCTCATCACCGTCGTCCACCACCGCTAACCATCGCCGGCCACTGCTATTCTACATCAACACACCACTGCGAAGGTTTACATCGAAAGGATTGGGGTTTGTTCTTCCTAGGTTCTACCGGCCGTTGATTTATATATCCTACCCACAATGAGGACCAAAGGTAAGCACCATCCTTCCATCCTCTGTTTTTCAGACAATGATAATATAATCTAATCACAAATGTATATGTTTACATTGCCCTTGTTATTATTGTTGTTTTTGGATTTATTTTGTAATGGACCCTTTATTTTCACTCTCTGTTCTTTTCCCTTTGTCAATGTTTGTACTGCTGATTGTTGATGTCCATAGAATCCCTAATTTCCCCCCAAATTGAAATATGATAGAATATGATGTAAACATCATATTGACAACTGTACAACATTTACAGGGTGATCAACCATGATGTGAATATGGGGTAAATATTAATATTGATGTAAATATCTACTTCAATGTCAATATTCACATTATGAATATAATGTAGATATTTAACTTCTAACATCAATGGAATATGATGTAAATATTTACAGAGTTGGTATTGTTGCGTGTTGATGGTTATAAAGCAATTAGAGCCCTTAATCTTGGATGTTTTAGTTCAATGTGTATTCCATTATACATAATCTGTACAATATTTAAAAGGTGATCAAATATTATGTGAATATGGTATAAATATTCACATTGATGTAAATATCTACTTCAATGTCAATATTCACATTATGAATATAATGTAGATATTCAACTTCTAACATCAATAGAATATGATGTAAATATTTACAGAGTTGTTGTTATTGTTGCGTGTTGATGTTTATAAAGTAATTAGAGCACCTAATTTTGGATGGTTGTCAACCCTCGTTTGGTTCAATGTGTATTCCACTATATATAATCTGTACAATATTTACAAAGTGATCAAATATGATGTGAATATGGTGTAAATATCCACATTGATGTAAATATCTACTTTAATGTCAATATTCACATTATGAATATAATGTAGATATTTAACTTCTAATGTAATCACCAATTTATATATTTACATTCCTTTCCATCCCTCTGTTTTTCAGTCAATGATAACATAATGTAATCACAAATGTATATATTTACATTATTATTATTGTTTTTGGATTTGATTTTAGAATGAACTCCCCATTTTCACTATTTGTCCAAGTTGCTGATTTTCATTTTTTTGTTGAATATTACATTAATTTGTTATTAATGTTGTCTGTGGTTGTGATTTGGTAATGAACTCTCTAGTTTTTCCCCTCTATCAGTATTGGTATTGTTGATTGTTGATATCCATAGAACCCCCAATCTTCACCCAAAAATATGATAGAATATGATTTGAATATTCACATTGTGACATCAATGACAAGATTCACATTATGAACATCAAAAGCAATATTTACATTATGGTTGTCAATTCTCTTTTGGGTCAATGTGAATGCCATTATATATAATATCAATATTAACATCAGATTGTTAAATATTGGTAATGACTTGTTTGTCTTAAATTGTCATGTGTTATTGTTTTGTAACACACTCATTATCTCCCCCCTTGTGTCAATGTCAGACTTGTTGGTGTTGTTTGTTGTTGATGGTCATGAAATAATTATAGGCCAAACTTTAGATGGTTACCAACCCTGATTTGGTTACATGTGAATTCTTGTATGCATGCTGTAAATAATAACATTATATTGTTTTACTTGTTATTGATTAACATCAATGTCAACATGCACATTCTGAACATAATATCAATATGCACATTATGACATCAATGGCAATATTCACATTATGAACATAATGTCAATATTCACCTTCTAACATTAATGGAATATGATGTAAATATTTACGGAGCTGTTGGTATTATTACTTGTTGATGGTTATGAAAAATTAGAGCCCCTAATCTTTGATGGTTGCCAATCCTCTTTTGGTTCAATGTGAATCCCATTATACATAATGTCAATATTTGCATCAGATTGTCAAATATTGGTAACGACTTATTTATGTTAAATTGTCATGTGTTATTATTTTGTAAAACACCCATTATCTTCTCCCTTGTGCCAATGTCAAACTTGTTGGTGTTGTTGGTTGTTGATGGTCATGAAATAATTATAGACCAAACTTTGGATGGTTGTCAACCCTATTTTGGTTACATCTGAATTCTTGTAGGTATGTTGTAAATAATAACATCTTATTGTTTCACTTGTTATTGAGTGACGTCAATGTCAATATAGACATTCTGAACATAATGTCAATAATTACATTCTGAACATAATGTTAATATATACACTATTCAATATTATATGGATGTGTGAATATCCACACTAATTGACAACACAAATGACAAATTTTCGTTATAGATAATGTGAATATTAACACTGATTAATGACGCGATAAGATTAACAAAAACCAAAAATAATGGCAGCAACAAAATTAGAAATTTGACAAATCTCAATCTTTCAAAAAATAAAAAACCATCGCTCACATCTTCATCTTCATCATTATCACTATCAATAACAACCAAAGCAATTCCACTATTACACCAATCTAATCCAAATCAAACCAAATGCACATTTAAAGAATAAGTTTGTAACAAAATCGACTGGATACAAAATTGAGTTTTGAATTCGCTCACTCCATTTGATTCAAATCCTACTCTCTCCCTTTGATTTTCTGCTGGAATTACAACAATGGCAAAAAATTAAGTTTTGAATCACAACAATGGAAGAAGACAATCTTCGAACCCAAAAATTATTAAATTTTTTTTTTTTTGAATTACACCTATGGACGAACCCATATGAGCAAACCAACAAAAATATACATGCATTACCAGTTAAAAAATCAGAACCTCATTCATCAAACATACACTTGTATTACCAATGTATTCAAGAAAATGTCATGATTCAAAAACAGGGCATGCAATCATTTACATAAATGAACATGCATTCATAAACAAAATGCTACTAACCTTGAGAAAGAAATTCTGTAATCGTTCTCCACCTTCGATCAACGACTGGTCTCAAACAATTATGTAACAAACCAGAGCACACACAAATGCCAAACTACGAAAACGAACACGCTTATGGACAGAAACCCGGCGTCGTCGTCTTTTTCTCTCCCACTGCACAGAAACCCGTCATCGTCTTCTCTCCACTACACCGAAATCCTACCATAATGGAACCTTACCATAAATAATCGACATTGATTAACTGAATCAGATCCATCAATGTGAACAACACTAACAAACAAAACAGAGACATGTATTTCCCTTTTTTTATATATATTACGTATTAACATAACATATAAGGGTATAATAGTCCTAAAAAAATATAAAATTAGAAAAAAAGGATCTCATGGAATAAAAGTACAAACATATGGGACTAACTAGGTTCTTAGGCTTCGTTTGGGAACATGCTAATTTAGTAATTTTTTGGCTAGTTAACTAAAATATGAGCTAAAAAAATTAATATGTTTGGGATAACTTTTGACTTTTTACAAAAAGATGTGCAGAAAGTAGAGAGAAAAGAGAATATTTGACTTTTTGGTATGAGTTGTTGGCTTTTTGACTAATTTAATATTTTTTTGACTTTTTAACTAAAATTAAAAATTCCCAAACGAGGCCTAAATTTCTTTCTTGAACTTATTGGGTTAGAATACTCCTAAATAGAATTTATCAATAAAAAATCTCTAAGAAACTTCCTTCAAAACATGGTATATATATATATATATATATTTTTTGAAAACTAAAATATGTTATTTAAAAACTCAAAACCCCAAAATTAATATATTTTCCAGATATTCGTGAAGTAGAGGGCTTCCCTACTGGATATAAACAATAATTTTGATTGAACTTTGAAGCAAATTCTTCATCCGCTTTCTAATAATCGATCGATTGGTAAGTTGTAGCGATCACTCAGATCTGTCTGTATACACAGAGAGAGAGAGAGAGAGATTGTGGAAGTAATCAGTGTGTGGTGGTGGGAAGATGGAGAAAATGAATCAGGCATTCGAGAAGGTAAAGATTCTGGTGGGTATGGAGGTGGACGATGAACAACCACCTCAAGACGAGAGCTCTTTTTCCTTCGTCGACGACTTCAACCGTAATTGCACTTTGTCTACCACTCAGGTATATTTTTACACCCACATTTATTATTTATGTCAATTTCTTTCTTCAATTTGTCAAATTTTCTTCTTGTTTGTGACTCTGATCTCAAACCACTCAATGATTGTTCATATCAAGCTAACTTGTTTAGGTTTTAGGAAGACCAAGAATGTGTGTTCATCTGCAATTTTCAGTTGCTGCTTGAAATTTCACAAAATAATTACATATTCATGAAAAAGTTTGAGACTTTAATTATTAAAATTTGTGAAGTTTACCACTGATTTGAATTTTTTTATAAAACTTCAATTGAATTGAAATTTCACCAAAAATTGTCCAGAGACAGTCGATCGGTTTTTTGAGATTGCCACCCAGGTGGGTTGACCTGTTCACAGCTTGTTGAGTAATTGGGCCTAATGGGTAGGACAGCAGTTCAGAAACAAAACTTGGGTTGTGTTTGCATTTATGAATTTGAAATGAATGGATTTAGCGTAGCTCATTCAAGGAGTATAATGTTTAATTCAATGTATTGTTACTTTTTTTTTTTCTCTAGATTTCATGAATTGATTTGAGAGTTTTATATAATTTGAATAATGGATTTTATATCTTGCTGGCTCTTTGAAATTCTCATATGAATGTTTTTACTTGTACAGAAATGTTAAATTTATGAAGAGAAAAGGTGGATATTAGGTTAGTGCTGTTACGTACCCAAAGTGGCCATTCTTGAATTTCAGTGAAGTTAAATTCTTCAATTTCTGCTGTGTTTATGTTGCTATGTAGTGGAGAAAATGCGTAAATGATATGGACTGTTGTTGCAATATGTAAATTGAGATGTATCGTGTATACATGAAGGCATTGCTTGTTTAGGAAATCCTATAACCTAGTTGGTCAGGTGATAATAAAAATGACCGTCTCGGAAACTTAGATTGTTTTGTAAAAAGGCATGGGATGAATATGAATGTCGATGCGAAAAGTTGACTTTGTGCCTGCACTTGGCTACTTGATTGATGGTTACTACCGAAAAAAACAAAGAAGGAAAAAATTTGTTGGTTAATGGTTAGTCTTTGAAGCAAATGCTATAAGGAGCCTCATTCATGTTTGTGGAATTTTCCATACAGCCCCACTACAAGAAAAAGCACATTTGGCGATTAAATTTTTAGTCGCCAAAAGTCCTTTTTTAGTCGCCAAAAGTTGACTTTTCACTTTCCCCAACTAAATATTTTAGTTGCCAGTTTTGTCGCGAATACATGGTCGCCGGAGGTATTGGCGACTAAAAAACTTTTAGTCGCCAAAAACCAAGTCTGTAGCGACTAAAATTTTTGTCGCCAAAGCTCATTTATATTTTTTAAATTATACATTTGGCGACTAAATTTTTAGTCGCCAATAGTGAATTATTTTTTTTTAATTTGTACATTTGCCGACTATTTTTTTCGTCGCCAATACTGAAGTTTTTGGCGACCACCCATTTTAGTCGCCAAAAGTTTATTTAAGAAAAAAATAAATAAATAAATAAAAATTACCTGCTGCTCTTCCCAAGTTTTGAACCATCAACCTCCCACATTCTAAACCTTTACCAAAACACTCTCTCCACTATGCCACAATAGTACCACATGAATATATATGCAAAATATATTATTTATATAGTATATTGACCCGTATTAATATAAAACTATATATATAAACATAATTATTTTTATTCAATATAATTTATGTAAAAAATAAATTATTTATTAAAAAAAAAGGAAGCCACTTTTGGTGACTAAATTTTTTTTTAGTCGCCAAAAACCTTAGTTTTGACTACTACCAATAATTTAGTCGCTAAAAAAATTAATTTCTGCCTAAAAATAACCATTTTCCGCGACTAAACTTATTTTTAGTCGCCAAAACCTCCATTTTTGCCGACTAAACTGAATTTTAGTCGCCAATTGTCCACTTTTAGCTACTAAATTGTTTTTAGTAGCCAAAAACCTTTACTTTTGGCTACAATTTTTTTTGTTTGTCGGTAAAACACCTATAATCGGCGACTAAACTATTTTTTAGTCGCCAAAACCTATATTTTTGGCTACTAAATTTTTTTAGTCGCCAAAAACCTTCACTTTTGGCTACTAAAATTGATTTTGTCGCTAAAACCCATATAATCGGCGACTAAACTGATTTTTAGTCGCCAATAACTACACATTTGGCTACTAAACTGTTTTAGTTGCCAAAAGTCTTCACTTTTGGCTACTAATTCAATTTTAGTCGCCAATTGTCCTACTTTCAGCGACGAAATTTATATTTTTAGTCGCTAAAACTGCTTTTTCTTGTAGTGCCCGTAGGTGACAAGTATAGAACTTTTCTCCCTTTCAAATACAAGAATGTGCCATACGCCTATAAAACTTTTTAGAGAAAATATTCAAAGAGAATTAAAACAAAAACAAAAGCAGGAGAGTCGTAAGGAAATTGACAAAAATAGTCCCTTAAATTCCTCAGCATAGCACACCAAATCAGAAGAGTTATTTGAGAGAAAGATATAACATAGAAGAACACTTAAGTGTAGTCTGGGTCCATAGTTTAAGACTCTGGGCATGAAGGTTTCCTTTCATCCAGCTCAAGTAGGTACACCAAACAAAGAAAAAGAGTGGAGTTCATATAAGCATTGACAAAATAGAATCCCTTAACCTTCTCCAATAAGTGTACCAAAATAGAAAAGTTAATAGAGATTTTATGGATTTTTAAAAAGCAATTGTATGTCAAGTTCCAAAAACAATTTTGAACATTACATGGCCACCTGCCCCTAGTTGGGAGAATTCGTAGCCTTGTAGGTTATGAATACAAATGCAATTCATTTTTAGTTGGAAAAGCAAACAAAAATTTTCCGATCACAAGTTATTGATATATGTGCACTATGCATAAGATTATTGAATACATAAGTTGCTTCCATCTCTGCACATTAAAAAAGCAACCAGAAAAAAAGGGAAAATAAGAACAAAGTTAAGTATTGTGATTCTGATTTGAATAGCATGAATATCGATTACTGTTTTCAAAGCTTCAATAGATCGGAGGTCATGTGAAATATTTAAAAAATTGGAAAATAAATCATGATTATTGGTTTATTAGTAGTAGGATGTGGAAGATGTTTCATGTTTGACAAGAGTCATTTGAAGGAGCTAAATTTGAAGTTTTAATACAGGGAAAAAAAAATTATTGTTGTTGTATGCTGGGAAATAAGTGGTTTTGAAGGACTATTGTCATTGGCCACATAAAAGATATTAAAATTTGTGACTCTTTATGTAATGTCGTTACCTGAAGTTTTTCACTCAACTTGAAAATGAAGGTTTATGTGCCAGTGCCATAGTATAGCTCAATTGGTTGAATAATTGCATGGAAATTGGGTTCCAGGCTCAGTTTCAGCTAGCAATGACTTGGAACTGCATTTAGTTGTCATTATTTGTTAAACTGTGGTGCTTGTGTTGAATTATAAGTTTCACTTAAGATTTAGTTATACTTTGTTTATACTGTTAAGACAGATTTCACTCTAAGATCCTTTTGTGTTTTGATTAATTGATCTCTCTCTCACTCACACATGTTAAACAGAGGCTTCAAGGGTTTGCCATATGCTTCGTTGCTGGTTTAACTTTTACACTCTTGGTACGTTCAAACATTGAATACTAAATCATTCTTTTATGTTAATTGTAGTTATCACGAATTTTTTCTCTGCAATTCTCTTTGTGCTTTGCCTAAATGTTGCATAGGAGTTACCTTGGGTTCCTAGTTTGAATAGTGAATTATCTCTTTGGTAGTATAGAAAAACTCTTTCTGCCGAGCACTTGAAACCCCAATATTACGGCTTAGAAGTGATGAGGATTTTGTTGTTTGCATGTCCATTCTTATTTTAACAGTTTGAGTTGACCCTGGTGTAACTAGTGATGGTATTAAACTTAACCACTGCTAACCAGTCACTTAGACTACTAAATCAAAGAACAGGCAAATCTAAGCATCAAGTGATCAATTAGTTAAGTGGGAGTTTGAGCGCCCATTTGTAAAAATATCTTGAGAGCAAGAGTCCCATAAAGGTGTCAATATACATATATGAGTATAGACATTTATCAAGTGATTTTTTTTGCATTAATCATATGCAAAACTAATTATATCTATTTAAAAATCAACTGAAGGCATTTCAAATAATGTTTTTATTAATAGTTCATATCACCAAACAATTGCATAATAAATAAAATTAGCACTTAATTATAATGATTGTTGAGTGTTCTACCATCTCTATACACTCTAGATCACATCTTACAGAGGTTTCCCACCTTTTGTGTGTGTGTGTGTGTGTGTTGTTGTGTGACCTTCAACACTTGGTTTGACTTAATCTTTGAGTTCTTGTCTAGTGCAAGGTATAATTTCTCATTCTATCACACCCCTATACTCTAGTCACACACAGAGACACCATAGGAGCTCTAGATGAGCATCCCTGTTGAAGTGTTTAGGATTGTGTTTAGTGGTTGTCAGGTTTAGGTGAGTTGAGAAAACCTTGTTTACTGTTATATTTGAGAGAGTAGTAATTGTGGAAAAGGTTGGTAGGTGATCCTAGTGAAAACCCTTTGCAAAGTAAGTGGTTGTAAAGATTTTGGGTGACCTTAGTGAAAGCCCATTTTATAATATTGGAGCCATGCCAGTGAGGAATCATGAGTGGATATAGGTACAAGGGTTGTGTCGAACCACTATAAATGTTGGTATTAATCCTTTTTTTTTAAAAATTTCTTGTACCTTATTTTACTTATCTGGCTTATATGAGGTGAATGTATGGTTGTGAACCACCGTTGACAAAATTGTAATATTCTGTTGATGATTGAATAATTGCTTACATAATTTTTTAATGTGGAAGATGGTATTTGGGATGGCTGGAACAAGGTGATTTGAGAAGATGGTAGGTGCTCAGCTAGCAAAGGACCATTGGAGGTGCAGGAGAGAACCAAAGGCAGCCCAAAGAAAGACAAGATGGTAGTGGAGAGAGCCTCAGACTTTTACTAGAGAAAGGGATGAACAGTTTGTGTTCTATGCATCTGGAGGAGCCCAGGAAGGTTGGGGGGACAGGTGGCCTAATCCCCTTGGTGTGACAATTGGGGATCTCCTGCCTGATATCTTCTATCTTGGGGATTTCGATTTCCTACCACATGTACCGTCTTTGCTTGAGAAAGTGTGAAGCTTTCTTACCTTAGTGTGTTAGAGGTATTAGATGTCTTGGTCAATGCCACCCCTCCCCCCTTTCTTTCTCTCTCTTTCTCTGAGGATGGTTAAGGGGAGACCACCTCAAAGGGGTGGTTAAGCAACCTTGAAAATCCATTAAACTCTAGCCTCCAATCCACAATCTTCCAATGTTTCTGTGCGGAGATCCTAGGCCCTGCTTCCAACCTATGTAACTTGTTTTGACTTCTAAGTGTCATATGGATGGCGGATCATTGGAGATGGATAACTATAGCCGATCGCACCTTGCGATCGATCTAACCTTATTAGAGATCTTGGCCAAGCGATCTTTCATATCAAGTCCTTGGTGAAATCATAAGGATCGTTAATCAATTTGAAATCAGCTTATGCGATCTCTCGCTGTGGTAGATCTTAGCTAAGCCAAGGTAAGGCAATCCAGGGAGAGTGATCTAGAGAGGGTGATTTGGAGGGAGCATTCCAGAAAGAGAGATCCGAAGACGGTCACCACAAAAGAAATCAATATACATGTACCTACAGCTAACATTGCAAGGTGGCTTACATTTGAATACCTTAAAATTAGCCAAACTAAGAAGTTCATGCTATAGAGTTTAGCGTGTGCCTTGAACCAAATAGGATATTGGTTGAGTTTATTAAGGTATTTAACTAAATATTGAATTTACCCGAAGTATCATGGTTCAATAAATTGAGCTAAGTGAAGAAGAAGAGATGAGAAGAGCTTTGCATCCTGGTTTGAACTAGGCAATCTTCACAATATAAAGTGCAACACACAGGATGTTACAAAAATATTTGATGTCGTATCCTACAGCATTCGCAATGTAAATAAGAGGACTTAAAAAATTTATCAAAAAAATAAATTGAGCTAAGGGAATTAGATAAGTAGTTGAAATGACATTGGATAATTTGATAAAGGCCAAGGTTGGAAACAGGGGCCAATTTTAGTACAAGAAATTTCAAAATTTTAAGTTGTCTTATTTACCCACCCTCAAGGACACTTTCAAATATGTTGTTCTTGTTTTTGGGTCCGTTACATTTGCCACTTCTTGTCTTTTGTGATTTACTTGAATATATATTTATTTTTGGTATGTGATTTACTTTAAACTGTAGTTCTTGATTTCAATTTTCTAGGCTTGTAGTATTTAACACGTCCTATTTCATGTCTCACATGGTTATGTTATTGTATGCCTACAATGAAAACTAATCTAATCTTTTCCTCTTTGATATTTTGCAGTCTATGCTTGTGTTCTTGAATCCAATCAAGTTTGGAATAACCTTTACCTTCGGCAATTTGCTCTCACTTGGGAGGTTTGTGCTTAGATTTGTATATTAGTATGCTTCTTGTCATTATTCCCTGTAAAGAGATTTATAGTTTTTAGTTATTTAGATTTCTATTGAATTTTTGGGATTCTTTATTGAAGTTTGGATTCATTCATTCATCCTTATATGTTCATATTATTCAGCAAGTATCCTATGCTTTCTCACAGCCTTGACTTGTTTTCCTATTTGTCTTGATCTTTTCCTTGGCAAGTTGTAGTGCCTTTAGTTTGTACTCATGGTAAACATGTCCTCATTTTCTTCATTTTTCTCAATACTTGAATGTTTATATCAAATTAATTATATGAATTACTTGGGGCTAGCCATCCTGTTAAGATATGTCTCCTATTTCTCCCGTTTGGAGATGAGGTAGAATTTAAAACCCTAGGGTTATGGTTTAGAGATTTATGGGCACAGGGAGGATTGCAATTCAATGATAAACTACTAATTAGATTGTAGTTATAGTTTACCAAGAAAAACGATAAATAACAAATGCTAACTAGATTAAAGGAAACCATTGCTAAACATATTTTTTTAATATATAACAGACTTCATTTATCATGTGTTAGATATCATTTAAAACACACACACACACATAATTTTTTAGGGTAAGTAAAAAAAAAAAATTGAATGGTTTATTATTTATTTATTTTTTAAATTTAAAAATGTAGACTTAGTTTATCATCTTTGTTTATTTATTCTTAGTTCTTTATATATATATATATATATAGATATTATATGTAACGGAATGTTGGACAACCAAGAAACAACATGTATATAAGATGAGTGTTGCTGAGATAAAGATGCTAAGGTGGATGTGTGGCAATACTAGAAAAGACAGAGTTAGGAATGAGTATAATCGTGAATGGGTAGGGGTAGTACTGATAGAAGATAAGTTGAGAAAGAATAGATTGAAATGATTTGGTCGTATACAACGAAGACCAACAGAGGCAGTAGTGAAGAAAAGCGATATAGTGACGGAAGATGGAAGTGTTAGGAGAATGAGCAAACCTAGATTAACGTGGGCTAATGTAGTAAATAGACATATGAATCTCTTTAATTCGACTAACCAAATGGTTGTTGATAGAGTCGAGTGAAAAAAAAGAATTCAAATAACCGACCTCATTTGATGGGACTTAAAGACTTGGTTCGGTTTGATTATCTCTCATACCATACCAAACCATCGTTATATATATAAATTAATATTAACTTAAAGATAAATATATATATATATATATATAGAGAGAGAGAGAGAGAGAGAGACTCTTAGAATCCAACATTAATGTAGAAGGTAAGCCCAATTTAGTTCCCATTAGATAGGGGGTAGACTGGGTATAAACCTAATCTTTGGCATTATTAAACAAAGTGGCTGGCGTCAGGTTTGAACCCACAACGTTAAGCTGTGTTTTACCCATCGAACTAGTGACCCCTGTTATAAGATGGAAAAAAAAAAAATGCTTAAAAATTGATGTTATGCAGGAAAATTTCTTTGAAGGATTAAATTGATAATATTAAGTATGAAATATTGGATTAAAGAAATAAGAAAAAAATAATTTGGCAGGGCTAGGTCTAGTATTAAATGATAAAAATTTGGTAGCACATGATCTTAATATAAAATGTGAAAAGAAAAAAAGAACCAGGAAATCAATAAGCTTAACACTGATAGTGTCTTGGCAAAAACTGTTAGAGAATTAAATTAATCATTTGAAGTAGTGATATGATATTAGATCAAGAAGAAAAGGAAAAGAAAAAGATGTTTTGGTATGATAGGATGTAGATATAAACTTGGTAAAGGTTATGGTTTTGATATAATTTTTGGAAGTAACTATTTGTTACCTCAATATAGTTTTTTGTTGCATAAAAATAATAAAAAAGGTGCCGAGGGGCACCACCCAATACAAAAGAAAACAAAGGAGATTCTCTTGTAAATCTCTTTAAGATTCCATAGAGTCAAGAAATTCCAAAAAAAGAATCAAATAAAGTACTCACCCTCTTCATCACCCTACTATACTAAGTTCAAAAAATTACTCTTTACAATATGTACTGAATGCTCCACCCTCTCAAAAGATCTCTGATTCCTTTACCCTCACAAACACCACATCAAATACAATGGTGTTGTATTCCACACCTTTCTTCTCCTTTTACTCGTCTTGGTACCTCACTAAAATTTTAGAAGCTCTACCAGGGTGTTATCTTGTCTAGAACTTGATTTACATACTGAGTTTTGATGTTGTTTTTATTTTGCTCCTAATCAGAAATTAAAATTGCTGTATTTATTTATAATTTTTTGATGCCCTTCATAAAATTTCTCAGTTTTTGCAGTTCTTTGTATTTCAGATCCTAAGTTGGAGTCTTTTGTATGGCAGCACAGCATTTCTCATAGGCCCCAAACGGCAAGTGACAATGATGCTTGACCCTGTCCGTATTTATGCAACGGCTATATTCATTGCAAGCATGATAATTGCCCTCTTTTGTGCTCTCTATGTGAGTCTTTCATTCTTTTTGTTTCGTTAAACACCTTCGTCCCCTCCATATTTACAAGCTGAAGGATACTTTTTGGTTTCAAATGTTACATCATTTCTCATTGATTGCATTGAGCAGGTTCATAACAAGCTATTGACAATTTTGGCAATCATATTGGAGTTTGGTGCACTTGTTTGGTATGTCAAATTGCTCATGTATCTCTTCATTAGGTGCCTTTCTTTATTATGAGGTTGATTATGTATGAGCAGCTTTTGACTGGCTTGCATGTATTGTTTTTGCCACAAACAGAGTGCACTTATTTCCTATTCTGTTGGATTCTGTGATCAGCACAGAGACCAAAGGCGTTTATTATTGCAAGTTATCATTTTTCATTAATGAGACATCTTAGAAACCATGCGGAGATCAAATGGTTCTGTCTTGCCTGACATGCCATTTTTATGCCAAATTGATGTAGAAAAACTGAATGCATCACGAACAATCTAAATAATAATGAGAGAACTAAAATATATCAGATCTTTTCCAAGAAAATAGCAAACGACATATATTTTTATCCAGGAAATCGAATGATTCCTTCTTTCTTCCAACTTTGAAAGTATTTGATTAGGTTTTTTCCAAGAAAATGTCAAACTTCATTTATTTAAGTTTTGAGGATAGGTGGACTCATTTAATACTCAAGTTAGATGCTGGTCCTAATTGAATTGAAGATAGATAGTAATTCCTACGTCAGCTAGTGATTTCAAAGCCTTAAAAAGGAGGGGGGCCCCCTATACGGGCCGGAGGTCGCATTAGCTTTGCTTGTTAAGGACGAACTAGGGCTTTCTGGGCCACACAGGACACTAAATAGAAAGCGAGTGCTTGTGGGTTGTCCTATGGAGGGCTTCTTAGAAAAATAAGTAATGGGAATTAGCAAAAATTCATAAGAGAGTCAAGGTTGACAGAAGGTTGGGAAGTAGTACGCCTGGTTCACTATGTCTATTGAGAAAGATCAAGAGCAGCCTGTCATTGGTGTGTCAGGTATCAGTGGTGCAGGGAAGATATTGTCTTGGAAAATCTGAGAGCACCCTATCCTCTCCTAGCTGAGGGACCCAGCTGTGGGGATTGGCTTTCTGGAGAGGCTAAGTTCATAATCATTGGAGCAAGATTGTGTTGCTTTGCAAGCATCAAATTTATGCCGAGTGAGATTATCATGGTACAAAAGCAAGTGTGGTATCGTATTCCCTTGTTCATCGTATTGGTTACGTTCCTCCAGGTTGATCATTCAGATCTCACTCACTATGCTCAACAATTCTAGTAAGGAAGTGTGCATTGTCACTACTGTTGTTCAAGACTGAACTTCTTACACTCCTTAAAAAATAGACTTCTTTTTAGAAGATTACAATGTAATTTAGGGCCCATCTTGAACCTTTTTAAGAAACTTTTTCATTTGAAGTTTTTGAAGGTTTGAAAATGAAGACAATGAAATATAATGCAAAATGATTGTTTTTTTTTGTTTCCCAAAAGAGTCCCCTTTGCAGGAAAATTTCAAAAATAGTTGTAAAAAGCACTCTTCCATTTCATTTCCTGTGCCATTTTTATTTTGGTATTGATTTTCAACAACAAAAAGTAGTCTTCAAAAGCAATACAAGATAGGCCCAAGTGTTTTTGTTATATTAGTCTGACCAATTTATGAACTGGTCAAAACTGTTGTGACCATTTTGTTGTCTCTCTTTCCAATTTCTCCTTGTTTTTATAAAAGCAGACCTCACAAATTTGGTTTATGTACTCAATATTTCAATGTCATATACATGAGATCTGAGATGTGCCCATGTCCTATCTTACCTTTTGCATTTGGAAAATGTTGCAATTTGTGACTCTACTCTTGGTTGTCAAACATTATTTGGAAATTACTAAAAAAATTGTGGACAAATGACTTTGGCTGTCAAGGTTTGAGTCTATTTGCATTTCTAGTGCTTAGAGTCGATGAAATGACACTTTCTAGCTTCTAAAACTCTGTTTGGACTTCGGTTCAACGCTTTTATCAATGGTGCAGCATTGCACATACAGGAAACATATGCATGTGATCCTCACATCATGTAATTTTACTTAATGGATCATTTCAACTGTTATAGAAATTATATTTAGCTTTTTTGTTAGATCCAGTCACAATTCAAATCTTGTGGTTCAAACTTCAAATTAAGCAACAGGGTGAAAGAGAGATGGAGAGACAATAGGCTAGCAAGGTAGTGTTGATAGGAGAATTAGAGCACATAATGTGGGCTAGGGCCCGGCTAAGGTAAAAAAAAATTCCATTAATTTGTAGTGTTTTGGTTTCTTGGTCTGTAAATTGCAAAGGGATAGCCCCCACAAAACAATTTCGAGTCTCAAGTCTCATTCACCTAGTTCCAATTTTAGTGGTTTTTAGTTATGACCTGTTGTGGCTTGAAGTGGTTGTGATGGGACTTAAGTATCAAATCAAAATGGGCTCAAAATGGGGTATGAAACTAGTGGTTTTTGGTTATTATGATCCATAATTGTGTTTCGTTATGACCCATAGTGGTTGGTTTTGGTTATGAATCTAATAGCGGTGTTAGTTATGAACCAAATGAATGGTTTAGATTCAATTTTTTAAAATCTAATGGCTAAGAGTGGAGATGCGTATGGTATGCACCCTTTTTTAGGGGTGTACAGTAGTTTTTTCCGCCCAGGGTATGCCTACAGTCATGACTATGGAGATACTATCTATATAATCCTTTTTTTTCTTGTTTTTTGTTTTTTACATGTCTATCTTAATATTGATTTAAGAATTTTATTTGCGGGTTTAATGATATTTTTAATTTTTATGCTTATAAAAGTGTATGTTTTAGTTTTTGCGTATGCCATTGATTAGAATTGCATCACACAATTCATAATAGAGCTTTGAAAGCTTTGTAAAATTCTCTAAAAGGACTACTTATACTGATTAGAAGAGTTGCATAGTTTTTTAGGTGCTTAGAAAAACACTATGATATCGAAATTTGGAGACTAAGACTTCTTTGAAACTCATCTAAATCAAATAAAGAACATATAGAAATAACATAATTTGACCCTTAATATGATCCATGGGCGAGCCCAACAGTTCATTTCCAAAATTCCAAACAAACATATGGAGGACTGACTAGATTTATATCTAATCATAAAATAAGACTTATAAGGTTAGAAAAAACTTAATTATACAAGGGGTTCCAATTGGTCCCTGCTTCAAACCATCCAATTCCAAATTTTGCTGCTTTAATTTTTCATTTTCTTTTTGATAAATAAACAAACTTTATTAGATTGCATCAAGGCGATGCCAAGAATTTTCTTAATCTTGCTATGGTCTATGTCAGCACTGGTGGTGGATGTAAGCGCCTGTTTCCTTTGTAATGCATAAGAACCTATACCCTTGTTTCATTCCTTACTAATTTTAAGCTTGAAATTTCCAATTGAAACTTCATATTGTACCCTGTTTACCTATTACTTCTCAATTCTGGAGGAACAGTATTCATCGATTTCTAGCCTTCATCTATCTGGTGTTGGTAAACTATTACCTTTAATTTATTTGCAAAATTAATACACTCGAGCTGCAAAAAAGTATTTTCTTTTGTTTTTAATATAAGTTTTCATTCCCTCGTTCCTCCCCTACTACCTCTGGCCACCACTCACTGCCAGGTGCCACCTTAAGCGACCGGCCCCGCTGGCTGATAGACCTCCAGCCACCCTCCAATCAGCCGACCATCCTTTGGACACCCGTTTGACCTTCAGCGACACTCCAGTTACCACCTCTGGTGCCCAAGTCACTGCTTGGACTGTCTCTTGTAAAACTTCATCTGTTCTATTTTTCTTATTTTGGTATAAAATAATTCTTTCTTTCTTTCATGTGATTTAACAGGTATAGCTTGAGCTACATCCCTTTTGCAAGGTCCATGGTTTCGAAGGTGATGGTGGGTTGCTTCGACACCGAGTTTTGAGGATTACGAATGCAGTTACCAAAGAATAAATTAGGTATATACGTTGTCAGTCATAAACGAAAACTGAGGTCAGCACATGTCGATTGTATCAGCTCAAGCCCTTGAATGGAAGATAAACTGCATGTATGAATACCTAGCACTCGGACTAGTTTCTGGGTTATGAACTTGTGATGTTACTGATTTGTACAAGGGTATCAACTGTCTTCTGACTTTGTTCAAAAACTTGAGGAAGGAATGTTAAAATGGTGAATTCAACTAGTTTTCCCATGGTAATGGGGTGAATTTTTTTTAAAGAGAGGAATACATATATGCCAATCCCAGTTTCGACTAATTAATTCAATCTGAACACTATCACAATTGGTATTATTGCAGAAAGTTGCCAAATTTTGAAGGGAATTGCTACTCTATATATTTATATATATGATCAGGTATCCGGGTCAATTTGTGCCCATCTCGACTAATTTTAGGATCCTAAGTTGATGACCAGGTCCTGAAGGGAAATGTGTGGCATTTACCAAAGCGTGGAGTTATTTATTTATTTTTTTTGGAACTAACCTAAGGTGGAGTTTGTGATAACCAAGCTTTTAATTTATTGTAAAAATTAAAAGAAAAAATGAGAAAATTTAAATTTGTGCATGTAAGGAGTTAATCTATAATTAAAATTAAGAAATTCTTGATAATTTTTGTTTGACAAATTTTTATTGCAATCAAGTGTTTACAAAAAAAAAATATTTTTCTCACTTTCAATTACTTTTACTTCTTATTATTTTTTCTTTATAAATAAACGTAGCATAATAAGCTGGTTGATTAGTGTGAAAGATATGATGAAAAATAAGAGTGATATGTGATAGAATTTGATATGAAATGAAGGAAGGTGAAAAAGAAATTTTATTTTCTAGTATGGATTTGGTTAAGATGAAATTTTGACCGCCCTCCTCCTATTCCATTGCCACCCTCTCCTTTCCAATTTTCCCACCACTTTACCCCCTCTCCCATTTTCCTTGATCACTCATCACTCCACAGTAAATCGTTGAGGGAGATTATGACCCATCTTCATCACTGTCCTCCGAGGAAAAGCCCACCTCCTCCCTATCAGGATACTTTGATTCTATGAATTCAGTTACTCATCATTTGGTGTGATTTGTTCGTTCCTCATTTTCATCATTGATTTGTTTGTCCCTCTTTCTCGTCATTGTTTGTTGTATTTTGCAATTCATTTATTTTTTGATTTAGCCAATTATGGAAGAAGTGACAGGTCGTTGATCTAAGGAAGGTAAGTTGAGGTGGTGCATCTAAAAAAGGTGGTGATGTGGTGGTGTATCTAAAAAAGGTGGTGATGTAGTGTTGGGTGGGTGGATTTGAGTAAAAAAGTGGTGGTGAGGTAGTGTTGAGGTGGTGGATTTGAGGGAGATGGTAGCTGGGTGTGTTGGGGCGGTGGATTTGAGAGAGGTAGTGCAAAGGAGATGGGGCGGTGTTGGTTAGGTAGGGTAGGGGTGGTGGATTTAAAAGAGGCGATGGTTATATAGGGTGGGCAGTGATTGAGGGTTGGTTTGGGATGTCCTAAAAAAGTGCACTTTTTGACTTATTGGTGGGTTTGGGTTGGGTTTGATGTGACGTGTTAGAGAGGTGATGTGATTTAAATAAGATGATGTGATTTAAATAAGATAGTGACTTTTTGACTTTTTGACTTATTTAGTACATGCCAAACTAGCCCTGAGATTAAGATCAAATCAAATCAAAATCTTATAATTTAAATTGAAAAAATTAAAACTTCAAGATTTGAAGTATTGCATGGTTAAACTCTACGATTTTTTTTTAATAAATAATTTCTCCAATAAGACATCAATTGTATTGCAAATTTGCAACTAGAGGAAGATGTTTATTGGATACAAATGAAGAATAGAATTACATAAATTAAGTTCCTTTTCATATAAATGGACAATAGGAAAAAAAGAAAAAAAATTGATACTATTCTAATTTTCTCCTCTATCACTCTTCCCAAGGACATTCTTTGATGAATAGGAACTACAATCATTAATTGACCTAACTCTCAGCATCAAAGTCTAAAGTGTGTTTATGTAAGTCTACTGAATAATAAACCTCTAAACATGAATCATCTAATCTAAATAGGCACTAATAATAATAGCTAGTAAACACCAAAAGTAAGAAAAAAGGGAATTTTTTTTTTTTGAAATCAGCACTAACCAACCCCCAAATCCACCACCAGCCGCCCTTTAATCATAAATAATGGTCCTTATTATAATTATAATAAATACAATTAGGATTATCAAAAGCATTAATTATCGCTTACGATTCCACCACCCCCCACCCCCCTAATCTATTGACAAAGGCTAATAGGTGGCCCATTGATTAGATTCTATGGAGACTGGGGTAAAAATTATTTTGAAAGTAAGGGTAAAAATATGCTGAAATTAATAAAAGGTTATTTGAATTCGATAAAAAGTCTCTACTTCTTCTTGTCTGAAAATAAAAAGTTATTAAAGTCGGTCCATAATGTATCTGTTATCATAGATAATATTATTGAGCTGCTGATCAGTGGCGGAGTCAAGAAATTAAATTAGAAAGGACATTTATTAATTATAATTTTTTATTTAAAAAAATGATCAATATTAAGATAATAATAATTTTATGAGCTAAATTTAAGCATAAGAAATTAAAAATCATTATTAATAGGAACAAATCAAAATTTTATAATGGCATGTAATAGCTTGGTGAGGGATAGTAAAGTAAGTTTGTAATTTTAGCAAAAAAGATTATAGATCAAAATTCTTAATTTTAAAAAATAAAAACACATCATTTATAGCACAAATTATTATAAAATCTATTTGATTTTTATTTGACATAAAATATTAAAGAGATGATATTACTTATAAATGACGTATTTTGAATGGAAATTATTACTTAGTCTTAGAGTACCATATGACGCTACATATATGATGCTCAAAACGTGAGAAATCACAAATCACACTAAGTAGTTTGTCAACTACCTGAAAATAATTAGTTAATTATATTCAATTCATAAGATTTCTCACTGCACTATTGGTTTAGACTACTACATAAACTATAGCACATAGTTCTCCCAAAGTATCAACTAACTACTTATTATGAATACTATAATAAATCATTAGTTAAAGAAAATGTTAAGAAAAAAAAATATATATTTTGTATATGACCACAAAACAAAAATAAAAACAAAAAAAATTCAAAATTAAGGGGGGACATGTGACCCACTGGCCTTCTTTGGCTCCACCCCTGTTGCTGACCATTTTTGTTGTAGCAATATCACATCCGTTTCAATTTCAATGTTATTCAAACACAAGTTGATTGCTAACTTAAAATCTATAAAAGATTAGATACAGAATGTTGAGGTTTGCATTACTGCCGCGGTTTTTTCACTGAATTAGTTGAATGATATCTATTTAACATTAGCTTTAGCAATCTTTGAAAAAATGTTAGGTATTCAAAAATAAATAAATAAATAAAAATAAAAAGTAAAAAATATATTATGTAATAAAATTTAGTATGATGATGGGGGTCTCATCTAAAAAATAATAATTTATTATATAGTATTGTTGTAATAATCAGGTAATCAACTTAAGGGTTGCGTAACTGTTTGTTTGTTGCCTTGATTGTTTTTAAGGGATACGCATGACTGACTGGTGGACATTATGCTTTGAAGCTATTAATAAATTAATGAATGTGTTTTTAAGATGTTGATAAAGCAAGTAATTAGAAACACTTTGACATGCTAAGGGATCCAAATAAATAGCTATGGAGCTAATCACATTACTTCCATTTCGGTTTTCTTTTTCAATTTTTCTCCCCCAGTATTGAGGTGGTGAGGAGATGAATTAGATTAAGCATCCAATACGTGCACCACTCTTGGGAAGAAACTCTAATGCTGTGTTTGGTTAGAGGATTTGAAGAGGGATTTGGAAAAGAAAAGGGAAAAGGTGTGTGAAACTAGGTGAAATAAAGGTATGTTTTATTCACGTTTCACCTTCTTTTTCCATTTCGGTTTCCAAATCGCTCTTCAAATCCCCAAACCAAACACAGCATAAAGAGACAAGTCACAAGTGTAAGGTTCTTGTTAGTGGGTTTTGAGAAATGTTAGATGTGCAACTTTAATCTTGCATGGGAAGCGACTGTTTATGTGATTTGAACCCGTGTTATGGAAAAACATTATTTGATTTTTTTTTTTTTCTTCCAATCAAAATTGGAAAATGTATATTGTGGAAGAAGAAGAAGAAGAAATTAGAGAAAGGCAAATTAAAATGGAAAAGTAAAACAAAGGAAACATAACTTCTAAAGTTCAGAGACATGGGCATCAACCATGACTTGGATTGAAGAACATTTGTGTCTCTAGAAAGAAATACAGAACATCCCAAATATTTCTCAAGTATTGATTACACTAGACGTACATGTATGACTTTGAGAATAGAATGCTTCTAAAAGGTGTGAAAATAGATACTACAGTACACTTGGAGAGAAAGAACGTAGATAGGGATTTGCTGCTGCGCCCAATGCAGATCAATAAATCAATCCAATCCGAGCTCACCTTTTTAATTTGAAGCATGCACTGGTAGGGCCTGCAAATAGATTATTCATACAAAAAAAATCAGATATTATTAATTTTTCAAGACAAATGTGATCCAATCATGTAATTACCGACATTCAATCAACTTGATTTTTTTTGCATGAATGATATGCTCAGTAAACCTACAAGATGAGCAGTCCGGAGACAGTCACCAGATACCCCTAATCTGCTAAATTTAAGGCTGCACTAGAATGAATAGGAAGGGAAATAGTGATTCAACTTTCAAGTAGTAGTGGAGGCCAAGGCGTTTTTCTTGGCCAAACTGTGTTTATTGTTGTGCATCCACACTTTAAGTACTCTCCTCTTGATCCCAATCTCTTGGCAGAATTGCTGCACTACACTCTCCTCCAACTTCTGTATCTTCCAACCAGCCTTCTCTGCAAATCCCAACATCTTCTCCTTCTGTTCTTTACTAAACTTTGTTCTAAACCTCTTCTTCACTCCCTGATCATCACCGGATGAGCTCGTAGGATACCTTATTTTGCAGGGCATTATCATCTGATGAGGCCCCGTTGTAGGGTACCCTACAAGCTCTGGGCCTACCCCAACAGTGTTGAGTCGATAGCGAAAACAATGATCATGGCCTTGTATCTCTTTTCTGTGGAAGTTTCTGTGGCAGTTACAGGCTGAGCATTTTAGGGCCTCAAGTGTATCTTCTTCGCCACCAGGCATGAACTCTCCACACCCGTCTGTGGCATTCCCGCCTATGGCGGCTGCGTGGTTTTTGAGGCATTCCCGGTACCTCGTGGCTTCCATGTAGGGCGGTCTCTGTCCTTCTGCGCTACGAAATGTAGCCAAATCAGAGGATATGGCATTTTGGGACCCATTACCATTTTCCCTTTCTTGGCTTGAAATGCTCATCTCCCTCTCTCTTGATATACTTATGGGAGACTAAACGAGAGAGAAATGATAGCGGCTCAATTTTTTTTGAGACTTCAGACTAAATATCGAAATGATGGCCTAAGTTGGGGTTGGACAAGAAAGGATTTTGAGGAATTTTTAATGGGTCCTAGACAGAAGATGTTGAAGAAGAGTATGGGGCACTAGATGCTTTATATGTGAATTTGCTGAGCTTAAATGCAATTTTTCATAACACAAGAATCAACTGCCTCTCTTCTTGAGTATGCTTATGATCATTAATGCATTTCACGAGATGGACAAGGTGTGTAGAGAGAGCACTTTGTTTTCTTCATTCTCTTTTTGGCATTACCATCATTCAGAGCGAGTATCCACCCAAAAAAACATTCAGAGAGAGAGAGAGAGAGATGCTAAATGTTGATGAAGTTTCTCGTTTGTGTGGGGTTATGCTGTGTGTTAGAGATGGGAGAGATTTTTTAGGCATGGGATTTTGTTTTGCCTTAAATCCTTGTGTGTCAATACATTACTAATAATTGAATCATGCTTTAAGATTTGTGTATCAAGATTATTACATATTTTAATAATTGGTAAGAAACATGTGTTACGATATCACTTAAAATTTTTATAAAAATTCTCTGGGCTTGTTTGATTTGTATTTTAAGATATAATTTTTCAGAAAAATTTTCAAAATTTTGTTTGGTTCAAATTTTTTGAATGTTTTTTTCAAAATCACTTTTTCTCTTTTACACATCAATCAATCACTTTTGCTTTCTCTTCTCTTATTCTCAATCACTTTTCTCTCACATACATCTACTCAATTACAACAAAATATCAAATCATCCCAGACTCCCAAACTCCCAAACTATTTTCAAAATAACCAAACAAACCAAAAAATTTTCTAAACTCTCTACAATTTTTATTTTTATTTTATTATTATTTTTTTTAAAATTTATCTCAAAACACAAACCAAACACACCCTTCATCTTTTAAGTTATTATTTTGTTTATTCATTTTTTTTTGTGGTATAATCAGTCTTAATATTTTTTGAAGGATCATGCTAATGATAACTTAAAGAACACATATGCCAAAATATATATAACAATATTATAAACTCATGAAAGGACCTACAAATACGAATCAATGACTTACATCATTGTGGGCGTGATCATATCTCACTAATTTTAAATCTATATTATATACTTATTTTCGTGGTTCTTTTCATGATCCATAGCATTTGTATTTATAATTTCAATACATTTTTCACCTATCTTAAAACACTTTTACATATATATATATTTACATATTTTTCAACATTAATAACAACCCAATGTGATTTCGACATTTTCCTTTTAAAATATGAACACACATAAGAAATAAAATAAAATAGTTAAACAAATCTGATAATAAATAATATTTAAAAAAAAAATAGTGATAAGAGTATTTTTAGCCCAATTTTAAAAGTTGGGTGCTTGCTTAACTTGCAATATCAGACATTAGGTTACACAATGGAAGGGCAACTTTGACATGCACAAACACCTAAGAGAGAGCGGTATGAAGCTAATTATTTGATATATCTCTTTGGTTTGATATGTAAATTTAACGAGTGGTAGTATGTATTTTAAGTTTTTGCTCATTGGATGAAATCCAAATGACCTTGCATCAGATCGGTTATTGATTATAAAAATAAATAAAGAAAAAATTAAAAGAAAAGAAGAGAACTTTTTGAAGAACAATAGTGTTTGTAAGATCTTAAACAAAATTCAGCTCAGCATTAGTTTTGGTTGGGTTTACATGAGCTTGTACTTTTTTGCCTCTTATGTGTTTACATCGTTTGCAAAGTAGATTAGTTTTTTGATTTTTTAATTTTTTGATTGTTATAATTTGGGGTTAAAAAGTTTGGTTTAGATTAGATTTTTTGTTTTTTTTGCCTTTTGTAAAAGAAAAAATAAAATAATTATGATTTGAAGTGTAACAATTTGTCTTATTAATTTTTTAATCTATTTTATTTTTTTATGACTATTTTGGCCCCATTTGGTAGAGCTGTGGGAAAATGATTATAACTTATACTTTAACCGCTTATAGCTTATAATTGTGAATATAAGTTAATTTTTGACTTATAAATTAAGCTTCTCCTCTCTCACTCAAAGAATAATTTGATTTTTGACTTACAAAAAGCTATAAGCTGTATTGTTAAGCTGAACCAAACATATCAAAATAGCTTAAATTAAGCTAAAAGCTTAAATAAGCCCTACCAAACAGGGCCTTTAACCTAATAGTCTCGTAGTATACTAAGGCCTCGTTTGAGAACAGACTTTTTAAATAATTTTTTGACTTTTTGGCTAAAATGTGATGCAAAAAAAATTAGTTTGTTTGGGATGATTTTTTGACATTTTACGAAAAGATGTGCGAAAAATAGAAAGAAAAGGGAATCTTTGACTTTTTTATATAGATTATTGACTTTTTAATTTTTTTAGTAACTTTTTGATTTTTTAATTAAAAAAAACACTTACTAAACTAGGCCTAAGATTTGGCAATGGTGTGCATTTGAATCTTTATAGTATTTTATTATTCCAACTCTACTAACATCATAATGATTTGAATAGGAACCTTATAGCTGAGGCTGAAGTGGAAGGCCAAAATTGATAATAAATTAAAGAAACTAATTAAATACTTATGATCATAACTACCCATTAATTATTTTTTATTATGAGTTTTCATAATCAAATAAATACAGATTAAATACCATTTTTCATTGGATCTTAACAAATATTTTTAAATAAATATTAGGTATAATAATAATAATATTGGATATGTTCTCATTGATTAGTGATACTATCACATGATATTCCTACTATATTCAAATTTACTTGTTAGGATATTCATTAATACATTTGAAATGATCTTGCATTCCTTAGAGCATCTCCAACGCTACACTTCTTTTTTCATCAAATCTGTCGAAAAAAATGACGATTTTTTCAATTTGATACGAGGCGCTCCAACGGTGAGCATCAAAGCAGATTTGGGGAGGTGGTCGACCGGGTGGTCGACCGGCCGGTTGACCAACCGGTCGACCGGTTTGGGCAATTTTTTTTTTTTTTTTTTTTTTTTTTTACCTGTTTGAACCTTTTTTGACTGGTTTGAACCTAGCTATTTCAAAGGGAACCGGTTGACCGGTTGGTCAACCGGCCGGGCAACTGGCCGGGCAACCGATGTATCTCTTTCAACGGTCAGTAACAGTCATTTGGTAAAATCCAGAACTTGTTCTCAGTTTGATACTTTTTTTGCTGATTTCTCATTTTGATATTCATTTGATGCAACGGTTGGAGCATGGAAAAGTACATTTTTCATCAAAATTTAAATCTGATATCAGTTTTGGTTCACCGTTGGAGATGGTCTTAGGTACATTCCTCCATAACCATAACAATGGGTAGATGAGGAATGCAAGATTATGTAATGTTTTGTTAAGCAACATCAACACTCATTAACAAAAGCATAACACTTTGCTTAACTTTGGCCGAGGATTCGTTTGGTTTGTATTTCTGAAAAAATTTTGAGAAATTTTCTCTACAAATAAGTTTTTAAAAGTAATCAAACCAAACAAATTTTCCTAAAAAAATTTCTCAAAACTTGTAAACCAAACAAGTTTTCCAAACAAATCTCTCTCTCACACACATCAAATCAATCACTTTTTCCAAAACTCTCTCTCAAAATAATTTTCCAAAATATCTTTTGAAAAAAATCAAACCAAACAACTTTTCATACTTTTTATCTCTAAAACACATCTCTCAAACACAAACCAAACATACCCTTATGTCCCAATCTCTATGACTCACAGTTGAGAGATTATGTAAAAGTCATAAGACATGATCTTAAAATTAAAAATACATTAAGATAGAGGAGAAAAAAAATTGAAAACAGAGGTCTCGTTTGGGAAGTGGCTATTTTAGTAGGCTATTTTAGTTTTTGGCTATTTTAGTAGGCTAAAATTTTTGTATTTGGGAAGATGATTGGATTTTTTTGTGGTTAGATGTGATCTTTGTGAGAGAAAAAGTGAAATGATTATGGGTTTGATGTGATATTTTGTCTTATTAGCTATTTTAGCCTATTTTATTTTTTTGTGAATTTTAGCCTAAATTGTGCTATTTTTTTTCTTCCCAAACACCCCCAGAATATCTTTGGCTAAAAGTAATCAAATTGATACATAGAATTTTATGTTTCATTTAAGTAAACTTCATGTGGTAAACAAGAGGTAGTTTTGGATTAATTGGACCACTGGCAGTTTGTTGTGTTGGGCCACATTATAGTAAATGATAAATGACACATTTTTGTCACACTTCCCAAAAATAGCACAAATCCAAATTTGAAAAGACCATGCATTGAATTAATTCGAAATATCGAATTATGACTGAAAGATATTTCATTCCTCATTTATTGATTGCATACAAATAAAACAAAGGGTTCACGTAGTTTCATCGCTCATTTATTGTTTGCACATAAAAATAAAAAATAAAAAAATTTGAATTCTTTAAAATTTAAATCTTAATTTGAGATAATTGCTCGATCTGTGAGATTCATCTTGGCTCTTATTCATTTTATAAAATTATTCATTTTATAAAATTCTCTATATAAATCATTCATAAAAAAAAATTAAATTAATCCAATAATCATAATATTTTTATGTTATCGTATTTATCTTCAAAAAATGAATGACTTATTTTTAAAACCGCACTTGTCATCTTTTTTTTTAAAGACAAACCCGATAAAATAAAAAAATTACAATTATTAAATTACATTAATTGTTTTAATATTTAATATATATAAAGAGATTTATAAAATAAACGATTGCCCAAACACTTCACCTTACAGAATTTTTTTTTTATTATTGGGTGTCATAAGAACACTTGTTTGGGCAAATATAACTAGGCTAGAGGGATTGATTATGTGGTCATTAAAGTGTGTTAGGCCAAGTTTGGTAAGTCTATAAAAAGTTAAAAAATTAAAAAGTTAAAAAATTATTTAAAAAGTTAAAAAGTTATTATTATTCACCAAAAGTCAAAAATTACGGCTGCACAACTTTCGATCCTAATTTTTTCCTACACACTAATTTATACAATTTTTTAATATACATTTTTTCTTAAAAAATCAAAAAATTAACCCAAACATTCATATTTTTTTCCTCAATTTTTTAATCCAAAAAGATAAAAAATATACTTATTTAGAGCATCCCGAACAACCTTTTTACTTTTTCTTGAAGCTGGCTAGCTACGCAATGACGTGTGGTGTGTCTGATCTCTAATTGCCTCGTTACTAATTTAAAATCAATCTTGCTATCCAAAGGGTGTTATTAATAATCACCAAGTATCCTCTAGAGTTTTTTTTTTCCTAAAGTTTCCTAAAGTGGTGTGTTGTATGGGTGAGATTTAATGCTAAAAAATT